GCGTGCGGTGCGCGGGGCTGGCGGCTCCCGGCGGGGTTAGGGGCGCTCCGGGCAGCGGGGGAGCCTCCTGCGAGGCTTTTTCGGCAACTCCGGCTCTCCCGGTTCGGGTTGGGATGTGGAGAAGCGCCCGGCGCCGGCCCGTGGCCCTGGTTGTGCCGGCAGCTCCTCGGCGCCCCGTGAGGGCCCTGGCTCTCTGCAGGTCCCCCATATGCACACATGTACATACGTATATATGTATATTTATATGTTAATATCACTGAGGCTCTCCTGAAGGGTCACGCCGTTAATTCGTTCAGGTGAAGAAAACAGTACATTGAAAGTAACGCTATGCGTTCAGTTCTTTGTTATTTATGGCTTTTCCTTAATTTAATCTTGCAGCTCCCAGCTCACAATAAACACTGCGATTGTTTACATGCACAGGTTTTATATGCACCATTCTTTCACAAAGTTCAATCGGAATGTAAGTATGCGGTGATGGGAGGCCGTGGATGCTGGTGGTGGGGGCGCAAGTGGCAGTGATACCCAGCCTGTTGCTGGATTGTGGATCTTGATGTGTTTGTGGGCATTTTAGCTTCTCATTAGCCCCTTAGAAGCAATAGTGATACTTTCACTTCACCTTGGGATTATTTTAATTGGTAGTAGTTGGATTTTTATCATCTGCCTTAGAAATAAAAGCATAAAATGCCCTCTCTAAGCATGTTTTAGGTAGTGGAGGGTGCATTTAGCTTTTTAGCAGTGTTACATGCTCTAGTTTTAAAATTCAGCACATAGGAACAAATACTCTAATGAAATCGGTGGCCATCCTACTATGGCTTAATTATAATATGGCTGTGTTTGTTTATGGATACATATTTGCTCTTAAAGGCCAATGTAAATTCATTTAACTACAATTTTAAGGCAACTTGGAAGTAAGTTGAGTTAGATGAGAAAAATCCTTAAATTTGATAAGCAAATGAATGCGCTGAGTCCGAATAGTGGCTGTTGCAGTAAAAGCACTAGTTGTAATTGGATGACTTTTTACGGAGTGTAGAATTGCAGGTACCAGCTTGAAGATTTTAAATCCATTTTTGTATTTCCAATGTGGTGGATGCAAAGGTAAGGAAAATGCTAGTCAAATATTTCAGATGTTCTTGCATGGAAATACGTACTTTTAAACTGTCTTTTTTTCTTCTTCTTACTAACTTTACAAAGAACAACTAACTTTAGTAGTGGTATGTTCTTAGGTGATGAATTTTCTTAGGTGGTGGCTTGCTATGATAAAATAAGCAAAACAAGGCTACTGTGAAAGATGACTGTGGTCTAGACTAGAAGTAGATCCTGGTCTACCAAAGGGTGGAACTTTGCAATTC